TCCTTTCCCTGTGGTCCTGTGGGGTGCTGGTGCCTGTGGTGCTTGGGGGTGTTGGCTCAAAAGTTGCTACCCATAGACTTGCTTAAACAGTTCCTATTCATAGACCTCTGCCAGCAAGGATCTGCCCCAACTCTGGTGTTTGGTTTTGCTATGTTTTGCTGTTATCGCTGATGTGTGTGTGTGGTTACTTTCAACAAGGATGCTTGCAGAAAATGTTTTCGGAAAATCCTACGTGCTGGCTTCTTGCAGTGATGCTGATAGCCTATATTTGGCACTTTCAAAAACAGCCGTCTGCCAGTGGGTGAATTGTGACCTGGATACCCACCATCTCTGACTGTTGGCACTTTTGAGATCTACGAATTCAAAACGACGACAGTTACGCGCCTCCGAGTTCCCTGTGACTATACGCATGTTTAAGAGCTGGGACATCAAAAATGATGACAGCTACGAGAATGGCGCCGCCAAGGCCCCAAAAGCGAGGACAGTTACGAGGATCGCGAGCTTGACACCCACCAGCCCTGTGACTGTTGGCATTTTGAGATCTTTGACATCAAAAGCCATGACAGCTACGAGGATCGTAAGCTGGACACCCATCATCCCTGTGACTGTTCACGCTTTTTGGAGGCCTGAGCTGGGGGTGAGGGGACCATACCAGGGGGGGGGGGAGGGGGATCTATTTGATATTAGCTTAGGGGTGGAGGGGTCTTTGACATCAGTCTGAAGAGATTACCAGGTCAGCGAGGTGATGCCTGGCAACCCTCTCCACACGGCCTCGACTAGTCTGGCAGCGTGCTTCAAGCCGGGGAGAAATAGAGTGTCCACCAGCTGAGCATTTGAAGACTGTTTATGAGGGTTGCCATTAGATGAAGCCTCCAAATTGACATGTGTTTGCCCGAACCCTGGCAAACTTCAAGTTGATTACCTGAATCAAGCTTGCCAAGCTGCAGACACACATCCAGGCAGGTGGCCTGGAACAGTTTTTCCCGACCCCGCCCAATTACCAGTGCTTCGTTGCATTTCTTGCGTTCCCCATCTGGTGCATTCTTACAGCGCCTCCCTAGAGTGTCCGACTCCGGAGGATGCGTTTATTGAGCGTTGTCCCAAAGCTGAGGAATGAAAGGTATGGTCCAAGTGCTAGTTTGAGGCTGGTATGATCGAAGCAGTGTAGTTTTTAGTGGTCAAGGTATATATACCGGTAAAGTGCTAATTTCCCTCTGGCCCAACGCAGAATATCAATTAGCTTACGCTGCAACGGAATTGCCTAGATGATTTTGATCAGATGATCCGATTACAAGATATCGATTCGTTTCCCCTATAACTTGCGATTCCTATAACTGCATTGGGAAAATTGATATACTAAATATTCCAATAACGAATTGCAAGAATTGAATCATAAAATACGGAGTGGGGGATTATTTTGAAAATGGACTCTGAAAGCGCCTTCAGACGGTGAGATTTTATAGATATCGCTATAAACAGCTACGCTCTCTATCCGTCTATCGATATCTTTATTTATTTCTATATCTGCTTTTGATTGATTTGATTCATCTCTATTTATTCGTTGATATTTATATGAATATTCTTCTAAAATGGCGCGAGATGTTTGGGCTAATATCGTTTGGGAAGGGCGAAATATTTTCTCAATTAAGTGGCGGATCGGTCGTTTGTCTATATTAAATAAATTCTTTATTATAGGAAATTATAAGTCTTCTATGAATGGGTATATCTGATTAAATTTCAGAGAAATTGATCTTCTTCTTGGAGGCGTCATAAGAGCATTGAAGATTAAATGAAAATATTTATATTTTAGATTAGGAAATCGTATATATATAATATGAATTCTAGAAAAGAGATGAATAGATAAGGGAAATATAGATTATTTATTTCGACCATCTTTGCCCTAAAATTTTTATTCAATAAGAAGTATAATATTTCTTTTTTCCCTCAATTATCTTCTTTATAATTTTGCAAATGCGATATTTGATATTCTGTTGCTGGGGACTCCAGGGATATTCTGCGCGTGGGCATTGAAGAGATATTTTTTGAGGCTACAGGGCTTTAGGTCGGTTGAAGAAAAGCTTGAAGGGGGATTTCAAAGAGAAATTATCCCCCTCTGCAAATGCCCAAAGCTGACGTTCGCTCAGACAGCAAAACGACCGCATCGAATGCTCCTTTTTGATTTAAGCTTATAGCATTTTCGCTCGTCGCTTTCTCTGAGACCCCGTGGGTTTGTCATGCTGACTCAGAAACCTTTTCTGTTCTGAAGCACGTTGTTTCTGCTATGTCTCCGCAGCCGTTTTGTAAGCATGCCTAACGTAGATACGATTGGATCTTATTGGGATATTTGGGAGGAGGATATTGCAGGGAAATTCTGGAGATGGGCGCCGCAAGGATTTCTTGTAATTGGGCACTGCAGAGATATTCTGCGGTTGGACATTACGAGGATATTAACTGATTGAGCATTGCAGGGATATTTGGTGGCGGGCATTGCAAAGATATTTCATAATTGGGCATTGCAGGTGTTTGGGCATTACAGGGATATTCCGTAGTTGGCTATTGCAGGGATATTCTGCGGTTGGGCACTGCAGGGATATTTGATGGTTGGTCATTAAAATCAACTTCCA